TTAATATTGATTTACTATAAATTGGTGACAACTCTATATAAGAAGAGGAAAGGCTAGGTGTGAGTATTCAAGGTGGCATAAAAGAACTCAATTTCATCCCCCATAATACAAAGTTAAGCAGTAACAGCCAAAACTGTTGATTTTAAATACATAGCAATGTAAATGTGTTATTTAGAAAACTAGAGATACATGCCAAAAGAAATAAATATGGTTGCCTATAGGGAGTAGAGAAAGACAAGTCAAGAGCTGCTGTTTTGTTTGATTGGTTTTTTGCTTTACATCTTATATTTTAAAAGTATTATTTGACTTTTAAAACTAGGTACATGTCTTTTGAGTTTTAAAAAGCAAAAATGATGCTCTTTGCAGTCATAATCCAACAGCTTCCATAACATGTGATTAAGTTACTTAGTTACAGTCACAAGGACAAGCATGAAGAGGTTTGGGGACAAACACAACAGATTCTTGGCAATGAACCACATAAGCAGCAGAAGAGCTAGGAGGGCTTGCTAGCGAGAGGCGACCAGGGCAGTCAGCGTGCAAGGCTGTTCGGTGGCTGTTTCAGGAGCTCAGAGCACTGGCTAATCTAGCAAGTCATTTTAAGGTCAGTTAAAAGAGCTTCTACTGTAACAAATCCAGATAATAAAGGAGATGAAATAAAACAGCCTCAATCCATCCACTTTTGTTACCCTGTCCTTTTCCCATAGGTTAGATGGAAGAAATTCTACCAGGAGCAGAACTCATGATCATCCTTCTCAAGGTCATTCAATTTGCCCTGAAATATTAACCCTCTTGAGGGGAATCTGCAAATGAGGATAAATTAGAGTCCTTTTGAAGGGTAGGCTATCTACTATAACCTTTAGCTTAATCTACAAAATGAATGGGAAAGGTGGCAAAAGAGATAATGAAGTAAAATCCGCCTTCTGCAGCACGCTGGGCCTGATTTAATTTCAATCACTGGATTTATTCCATGACGGCCTCCTTCTCCTTTGCATTTTGGGTGAGTACTAAACGCCATATAAACACTGCAAGAGAAAATGAGCAGTCAGGAGTTCAAAACAGGACCTGAGACATTGCTTCCTGTCTGTTCTCTGAGCAGGCTTGCTGCAAATCTCTTAGTCTCAAAGTCACCATTTGACCTGCCCCAGTCAATGATGCCTTTAGGTTTTGAGTATTTTGGATTGCTAATTATTAGAAGAGGGAAGAAGGATATACAGTGACTTTTCAATAAATCAGCCAGCTGCTGATCTCTTTGCTGCGCTATTTTAAGCACTCATCTACAGAGATATCACTCCGTAAGGGAAACATTTCTCTAGCTCTTCTATTTGGACTTGATTCAGGAGCACCTGGAAAGATAGGCTTCACCCCCTCCCTCATCTGCTGAGTCTGCAGGGCTGTGACAGCCCTTCCTGACAAGAAATTGTCAAATTTCCTTTACAGCTGAAACTAGAAAACCAAACAAGGCAGAAATTGGCTTTTAGCACCAACAGAGCCACTAAATATTTTACCTTTCTCTATGTAGATTCATCTAGAAGGAACAATTTGGATCTTCTGAAAGGTCACTCCCCAAAACCTATGCAAATCAAGTCAAAATAAGTATTCTCTTTATTTTTTCAGAAGCCTTTAGGCTACGTTCTTCTTTGACATCTATAACCACAGATGCCTGTGACTCAGGTCCAGCCACCTAAATGTCTCATTGGTTGAGTATCATAAAGAAATCTTCAACATTGAGTGGCCACCTCGCTAATATCTGGGCCCCAACTTTGGCCATTAGCCAGGCCCTGAGCTTGCACTTACTCCCTTGTTTTTGATGGGGCTGAACTGTTCTTTTTAGATGGGAAAGCCTGATTTCTCTAACCATCATTATTTGGACACAAAAGAAGTCTGTGATAGTCGTTCGCCTCCTCTTCAGACCACTTTATCTGGCACGTTGTAGCACCTGGATCAACAACAGAGTTACCTGCAGTTACACCTGTTACAGAAAATCATTCGAATCACCTCGTATACACTGGACATTTCACCTCTTCCACGGTTCCTACCTCCCCAGCAATGTTTGGCCCTGCTGAATACAATGCAGAATGAATGGGGAGAAAGAACCTCACTACAAGGCATATTATTGTAAAATTTCAAATCAGAAAGGAAAAAGGAGCATTTCCTAACAGTTTCTAGAGAGAACTAAAATAAGAGTTGCATATAAAGACAGAATCAGAATGGATTTGGGGCTTCTCATGAGCAACTAAAAGCTGGAAGGTAAGAGAACAATGCCTTCAGAATTCTGAGCAAAAAATGTTCTGCAAGCTAAAAAAACTAAGTCACATTCTCGATCAAGTATATACTAGGAGAATAAAGACATTCTCATGTATTCTATAAAATACACTCCTCTGTACCCTTTCTCAAGAATACACTGAATTGTTTTCACTAAAACAAGGAAATATACCCAGAAATATAAAAATATGGCAGTCAGAAGATAGGACAGGGAGGCAAGAATTGTCCCCAGGATGAAAGAGAAGGAAATTCCCAGGACAACAGCTGTGTACCAGACCTAGAATGTAACCAGGCTAGTTTAGAGCAGAAAGATGGAGGGTATTAGTTTGTATTTTTCAATGAAAAAAAAAATCAATTGATAGAACATCTGACGTTTTCTTACTACACTGTGAGATTTAGAGTTCACACAGAGTTTCAGACTGAACTCATGATAGATACATAGGAAACGAAGCAAATGAAAAAACAATGTAATTCTTCACTCCAGGTTAAACAAGAAGTTGTACAAGAGAGGAAATATTCTTAAAGAACACTATATGATTCAGCAAAAAATAATGTATGATCAAGATATTTAATATTGATTTACTACAAATTGGTGACAACTCTATATGAGAAGAGGAAAGGCTAGGTGTGAGTATTCAAGGTGGCATAAAAGAACTCAATTTCATCCCCCATAATACAAAGTTAAGCAGTAACAGCCAAAACTGTTGATTTTAAATACATAGCAATGTAAATGTGTTATTTAGAAAACTAGAGATACATGCCAAAAGAAATAAATATGGTTGCCTCTAGGGAGTAGGGAAAGACAAGTCAAGAGCTGCTGTTTTGTTTGATTGGTTTTTTGCTTTACATCTTATATTTTAAAAGTATTATTTGACTTTTAAAACTAGGTACATGTCTTTTGAGTTTTAAAAAGCAAAAATGATGCTCTTTGCAGTCATAATCCAACAGCTTCCATAACATGTGATTAAGTTACTTAGTTACAGTCACAAGGACAAGCATGAAGAGGTTTGGGGACAAACACAACAGATTCTTGGCAATGAACCACATAAGCAGCAGAAGAGCTAGGAGGGCTTGCTAGCGAGAGGCGACCAGGGCAGTCAGCGTGCAAGGCTGTTCGGTGGCTGTTTCAGGAGCTCAGAGCACTGGCTAATCTAGCAAGTCATTTTGAGGTCAGTTAAAAGAGCTTCTACTGTAACAAATCCAGATAATAAAGGAGATGAAATAAAACAGCCTCAATCCATCCACTTTTGTTACCCTGTCCTTTTCCCATAGGTTAGATGGAAGAAATTCTACCAGGAGCAGAACTCATGATCATCCTTCTCAAGGTCATTCAATTTGCCCTGAAATATTAACCCTCTTGAGGGGAATCTGCAAATGAGGATAAATTAGAGTCCTTTTGAAGGGTAGGCTATCTACTATAACCTTTAGCTTAATCTACAAAATGAATGGGAAAGGTGGCAAAAGAGATAATGAAGTAAAATCCGCCTTCTGCAGCACGCTGGGCCTGATTTAATTTCAATCACTGGATTTATTCCATGACGGCCTCCTTCTCCTTTGCATTTTGGGTGAGTACTAAACGCCATATAAACACTGCAAGAGAAAATGAGCAGTCAGGAGTTCAAAACAGGACCTGAGACATTGCTTCCTGTCTGTTCTCTGAGCAGGCTTGCTGCAAATCTCTTAGTCTCAAAGTCACCATTTGACCTGCCCCAGTCAATGATGCCTTTAGGTTTTGAGTATTTTGGATTGCTAATTATTAGAAGAGGGAAGAAGGATATACAGTGACTTTTCAATAAATCAGCCAGCTGCTGATCTCTTTGCTGCGCTATTTTAAGCACTCATCTACAGAGATATCACTCCGTAAGGGAAACATTTCTCTAGCTCTTCTATTTGGACTTGATTCAGGAGCACCTGGAAAGATAGGCTTCACCCCCTCCCTCATCTGCTGAGTCTGCAGGGCTGTGACAGCCCTTCCTGACAAGAAATTGTCAAATTTCCTTTACAGCTGAAACTAGAAAACCAAACAAGGCAGAAATTGGCTTTTAGCACCAACAGAGCCACTAAATATTTTACCTTTCTCTATGTAGATTCATCTAGAAGGAACAATTTGGATCTTCTGAAAGGTCACTCCCCAAAACCTATGCAAATCAAGTCAAAATAAGTATTCTCTTTATTTTTTCAGAAGCCTTTAGGCTACGTTCTTCTTTGACATCTATAACCACAGATGCCTGTGACTCAGGTCCAGCCACCTAAATGTCTCATTGGTTGAGTATCATAAAGAAATCCTCGACATTGAGTGGCCACCTCGCTAATATCTGGGCCCCAACTTTGGCCATTAGCCAGGCCCTGAGCTTGCACTTACTCCCTTGTTTTTGATGGGGCTGAACTGTTCTTTTTAGATGGGAAAGCCTGATTTCTCTAACCATCATTATTTGGACACAAAAGAAGTCTGTGATAGTCGTTCGCCTCCTCTTCAGACCACTTTATCTGGCACGTTGTAGCACCTGGATCAACAACAGAGTTACCTGCAGTTACACCTGTTACAGAAAATCATTCGAATCACCTCGTATACACTGGACATTTCACCTCTTCCACGGTTCCTACCTCCCCAGCAATGTTTTTGAGCTACTGCTGAGCTTCAGTACATCATGAAGAAGACGGTTCAGTTACTGAAAGCTTTTCTAACTGGAATCCACATCTTCTCAAGCCTTGTTAAGTAAGGGGCCCCAGAGAATTACCTCAGTGTCAGAGCTGTTGCCATTCAGAGCCTCCATATTTGGGTCCCTCCAGTCTTCTGAGAGTGAAGGGATGTAATTGTCTGTCAGCGCATCCCAAACCCTGTAAACAAAGAGAAGCTCTCATTAGCACACATCTGTGGCCTGGCCCCGCCTGGAGGAAGGAAGAGCCGGGCCAGGGCAGGAGAGAGGCCTCTGTGTGTGCCAGGCTGAGATCATCTGCCCTCCAGCATGCAGAAGCAAGGCAGCTTAGAAACTGAATTAGAGGCACTACCAGGAGAGAAAGAGCCAAGAGAATGGGCCCTGGCCAGGGTTGTAGTGTTTGCCTGAGAGAAGAAGACATTTTCACCGCTGTGATACGAATGGTAGAATCTAAAAGCAAACCACCTCCAGCAACAAATAAATTGCTCCCAGAAATAAATCTGCCCCTCAACATAGAGTTCATGTCTCATGAACCTAAGAAATTGCCGCGTTTCCTTTCCTATGGGCAGAGAAGAGGTAGAGAGAGAGAGAGACAGAGAGAGAGATCTGGACAGATTTTCTGGCTGAATGCCATTAAAATCAGGGTCTTCACCTCATTTATATGCATTTGAATTTCAGAGGCCTGCAATCTAAATGGTCAGGAATTAACTCTTTGACATCTCCCATAGGTAAGGGGATAATGCCAGCGCTGTTAATGCTTACTTATTAACCAAAATGTGCCAGCAGGGTCCAAGTGTCCTGTGTCTCCATCATGGACACTCTAATGCAAATATATGAAAGGGATCAGTAACTATAGCTCGGTCCAGGAAGATGGGGCTCCTTTATCACATTTCTTTTTGAAATTCTGATGTGTACATTGTAACAAAGGGTTTCCAACAATTCTTATTGCTTAACTCATTTCAGAAAAATTTCCTTGGGAATAAAAGGGCAGGGAAAGTCCTGAAGTCACACACTCTCACCGACAAGAGAATAAACAGATTAGTCAACACCAAGAGATTAATGTAAATCAGCAAACCAAGCCTCTAATACAATACCATCCACAGAAGCCAGGAAGTACTTGAGTAAGAAATAGATCAGGGTACAGGGGGGCTCTATACAATTTCCCTCAGGCACCTATGTGTGTCAGACATGAGTGATCGCTATGAAGACAAAGTTGAAGAAGGTACATTTTATTTAGATATGCTAATATAAGGAGATAGCTTTTTAAAAATAAGCAAATATTTATACACATAGATCAAATTCAAAATGACAAAATATGGTGTAAGATGCTGAAAAGGTGACTGCAAATTATGTGTAATAATTTACATATACATCATAAAGCACAGACAGGTGAAATTACATAAATAAAATGGGGGAGGGGAGCACGCTTAGCATATATGAAATCAGGATATATGATATAAGCTAAGAGGTTTTCCTTGTGCACAATAAATAAATAAACTAATAAAAGCGATTCAAGAAAACACACCACATGGCAATGCTTGGGTTACCCGTTTACTCATTGTTTTCCTACAATTACAAGAAAGCACTTTGAGAGAACTCGCCAAAGGTTCATAGGACATCTATTCAGCAGGATTTCAGAGTCTACTTATTAAACACGGATGATCCGATCTCCATCAGGCACTATTAGAGTTTCATTAATCCAGACTAATTCTAAATTAGCATTCTAAAGCCAAGAGGCAAGTATGATTTACTATCTCCAAGACAGAACACCAAGAGCCACACCCACTAGAAAGGTCAGTGGACAGCAGCTCCTCCTGGAAGCACTACATCCCATCCTCCGCTGCGAGGAAGAGAAACACGAGCACAGGCACTGACCTTCGATTTGTTCCTGCAGCGAGTACCTGGAGAAATGCAATTCAGCAAAGTCCAAAATAGTCAGGAGCCTTCCGTACCTCCTCTAGGCAGGGTGGAAGCTGAGACCTTGAATGGACCACACACCTTCCGATGACCTTGAACCTGCTCACCTCCTCAACGTGACGACTGAGAACTCTCTTCAATCAGTTAGGGAGTGGCAACTTTTCTCATCTAAACCTTCACTGACATACTCTGGATTTCACATACTGACTCTCGATTTAGTGACAATTCGCTTAAACTTTCTCTCCTCAGAAATTCCGGTTTTCCTTATTCTCTTGCATGTTCTGTCCCACTTTTCTTCTTCCTTCCTGGTGCACTTTTTATCCTTGGAGGTGCAAAAGCAACCTCTCATCTTGTTGTAATCACAGGCATGCCCTTCCTGTGCTTTTCAGCACCCACCTGACCATAATAACTGTAGCAGACAACACTTAATGGGCACCTACTATAACCCAGGTACTGTTCTAACCCGTATGTGGGCTAATTCATTCACCCCCACAACAGCTCTATAAGACAGGTACTAAATAAGTAAAAGAAAAAACTGAAACACAGAGAGAAGTTCATTAACTTGTCTTGGTTCATACAGCTGGTGGTAACAGATGGGGTTTGAAGCCAGGCACTACATCTACAGAGCCTATATTCCTAACCAACTATTCCAATTCTTTATGAATTTTATGAGTGGTACTAGCCTGGGTATCAGAATAATATACCAACTTCCAAATCTCAACCCAGAGCAGCAGTTCAAAAACTGGCTCTGCGTGAAAAATCCATAAGGATGTTATTCTGGACATTGTGCTTTCATCAGTCTACAATGGCAGGAATGGCAGAGGGCAGCAGGGTGCACGACGCTTTCTGTCTAGATCTCCAGCCCACGGAAGGCTGAAAGGAAGACAGAGGCAGAATGCTGGCAGGTAGGCAGGTAGTGGGAGGGAAAAACACAAAGCTTTCTGTGAGGAAGAGAATGGGAAGGGCTTGTCTCCCTGGAGAGGCTGTCCATCCCATCAGCAGGGCCCTGGGGAATGGATCTGCTCCCTTTTACAGGTAGACTGTAAATTGCACTTCCTGAGACGCATCCTGCTACTTAGCCTTATCTTGGGGAAAGGAGACTTCCAAAGCTATACACTGTATCTTTTATCAAAGAACTAAGATTAAACAGATTGCCTCAGTTCCTATCAGTAGGCTGCCATGGCAGCCAGATTCAATTTGCTCTCTCAGTCCCTATAACAGAAAAGGCTTTTCATGAGCCTTCATAGCTTGAGAGTAGTGCCTGTAGAAATGACCAAACTATCCTTCACTAGGGAGGGCCAGGGACTTGAAAAAGGATGCTGGCATGGTATGAGCGAACTGAACAGAATGGGTTGTGCAAGATGCGTATACAAAGATCTGGGTCTACTGGCAATATAGCGCCATCAAGGCTACATTAATCCTACTACACACACACACACATCTCTGTACACCTATTGGTAGACAGATAGTTTAAAGGGCTCATTAGAATTCCAACTGGGTAACATCTGCCTTAATCCCCTCTCAGTGGCTACTGTTGTCCAGTGTTTTATTTGTAACCAGTCATGCCAATATCCACACTCGGATGTGTGTTAACATGAGTATACTTTTGCAGTTAATACTTTGGAATGGCCCATTATTAGCATATTAATAACTGAGCAACTTTTTAGATTTTTTCAAATGCTTAAATAGAATCAATACTACCTCTTCCATCTGGATAGGGAAATTGAACCTCCAAGAAGAGAACTCATCTCCATAAAAATCATAGTTATCTATCAGCTGTCTCTATCTGATTATTTGGCATTTACTTGTCTCCAACTTAAGTATGGTTGACCACAGGCCATTTAGTTATTGTGTGGACTTTATTTTTAATGTCATCATCCTTAAACCAATAATTCTACATGAAGAACAAGAAGCTGTCTTTGTTCTCACGTTTGGCCCCACTGACACCAGGGTACTAATAATAAGAGGGTTGACAGGGACCCCAATGAGGCAGGGGCAAGGACTACCCAGTTCCATTTTGCAGTACCTCTAAAAGGCTCTGGCCTCCAGGTCAGATCTCTTACGACAAAGGAAAGGGTGATAATACATATGCAAAGAAGAGATTCTGGAATATTTTCTAAATTTAACAACAGGAAATATATATTCAAATTTGACTCTCTTTTAATGCCTAGAATTTCCATGCTCCGACAAATCAAAGGCAAGTTGCTAACTCAGTCAATTCTGTATTAGCCAGATATTTCTCAATGAGAGCTAAAGAAATCAAAACTTTAAAAAGAATTACTGTATTTGCTTTATGATTTGTGCTATCTTCAAGGAGGTTAATTTGACCAAAAATTTAACTGCTTTTGTTTTAAGCTTCTATTATTTAGTTCTACCTGATCCCAAACACTTTTAATTCATTTGTGAATTAAATATACCTCTAAATACTAAATTTAAGCAAGTTTATGACAAGCTATACCTAGGAGAATCTCAGCCAGATTAGATATTAAATAATTTTTTTCTTTCACCTCTTCATAATTTTACAGTTGAACTATCTGGAAAGGTGTCTATAAAACAAAATGTGAAATTTAATTCTGATTTTTATTTCAGGCTGTAAAGCTTTAAATACACTGACAGCTTAGAAAACGCAGTGGTAATTTCTCTCTTCCCAGACCCTCCCTCTACACTATCCCCGAATAATACTTCATCTCTAAGGAATTGTTCAACCTTCGGTCTTTTAGCTGAATCAGTCAATGAGGCAGGCAAGTCAGAAAAATCAGAAGACCAATAATCCCCTGTGATGGTAATTAACATTGAGTGGCCTCTGCTAATGTGCTGAAAGAGAATACAAACCTACTCACTGGGCCTTCATCCTTAATGAGGCAGAGGTGGGATTTAGATGGGGAGAAATGATTTGTTGGAAGCAAAAGGAATTGGATGCATCTTAAAATGTCATTTTCAGAGCACAGTCTGGGAGAGATAAGAAATTAGGTTCTTTGCAAGTCCTTAGACCCGCTTCATCAAGATTGCGCTCTGGAGGTTTCAAAGGTAAGGACCCACGCAGTCCACTAGAGTTAAGTGACTAGCCCAAGGTCACACAGAGAGTTAGCAAGAGAATCAACATTATAATTCATAGTCTTCGTATTTCCAGTTCATTGCCTGGTGCAATGAACTAGAGTAAAAAACTACTTGGTATAATAATGCCCCAGAGACATTCTTTTTTGATGTAAGGAAGTTGAACAAATTGCAGCAGGCTCAGAATCTAAAAAGAATCAGTTTGAAACTTAAAATTGAATTGAAATGCACAGCCCATGCTTCAGCCCATGGTTATAGTACTGGCCACCGCCGGAGTGAAATGTTCTCTCTGTGATCATGCCTTCAGGCTAGCATTAATTAAAAAGAAAAGAAGGAAATGGTATGGACCTGGAAATACATACATGTACCTACAGGCTAACTATAACTATGATTACTAGTTGAATTCATGCAGTATTCAATATTTCACTCAGAAAATATTACTTGATCACTTACTACATACCAAGCACGGTATTAGACAATAGGGATGTAATAGTGAGTAAAGACAGACAGCTATGTAGTCATTGTATTCAAAGAGCCAGTCATCAAATAAACAACTATTTCCAAAAGACAGCCAGGTCCAGTTCTTTCGGATATACTTTTTACCCCTGTTATTTATGGGCAAATCTTCCCACTCAAGTCCGTAAAAAGAGAAACCAAAGCACAGTTGTTCCAAACTTCCACTACCAACTACTTGAAGTTTCTTGTGTGATTCCTAAAGAACGACTGGTGTGTATTTCATCTGCGTAGGGAATTCATGCCTGTTTTTAGTAAGTGCCCGAACACCCTTCTTTAATTCATATAAATTTCTCTTTCTAGTCCCTCCTCAAATAGCACTTTTCTCAAGTCCCTTTTCTTGACTACTGTTCAGACCCCAGAAGTGGCCAGGAAGTGACGCAGGGAACCTGCATATTCAAAAGCCACTTCACCTGCTCATGGCTTTTGTTTGGCACAGGGTAATTCCCTGGGCTCTTAGTGAAATTTGTACGCTTTCTTATCTGGACATGTCTTAACACTTGTAGATCATTTTCCAGTCCTGAGGGGTTTGTAAACAATTTGGAGATGTTCATAATTCTGGTGTTTCTTGAAGCAAATTGTTCTGAAGACATAGATTCCTCCATCGTATAATTTTTTTTCTGTCCCTTATTTCTAATATCTGGGTTGATTACTGCTGATATAAAGAAAACTGAAGACAGACTCCAAATTTAACAAGCTCCTGAAATTTTATTTTACCTCCTCCCTAAAAATCCTTCATTCCTTTAAGGTTTCCATTTAAGAAAGCTCTACAGGTGACCAGAAAGGGACAAGACAGAACAATGTCAGCAATAACTAGAGCGCTGCCCCACTGACATAAACATGTAACTAGTATGCTGCGAACCCACAGGCGGAAACCATGGTAAGACAGGAGCCCCAGACTATAGAGTGCTTGTGTGAAGCAACAGGGGGCAATTAAGACTTCTTACTCCTCATCCTGCAGGGTTTCCTCCTCCTCTTGGATCTGAAACTGGTTCTTCACTGGAGCTAGGTTTTCCGTCTTGGCATTGTAGTTCCGAAAGCAGACATTGAGCTTCTCATCGAATTCATTCACTAGGTCCTCCATGGACTTGAAGCTGATTATTTCAGAGGAAAAATTCTCAAGCTCAGAGAGGGAGGGGTCCTCTAGATGGTGGGGAGATGAGCCATAGAAACACCGTGGCTTCTCCTCCGGGTCCTCTGAGCAGCAGGGCCGAAGGTCCTCAAACTCTTCATCCAAACTCACCAGTGGGGCCTCCATTATTGCTTAGCAACAGAACAACTGCACTGTTCGAGAGTCGTTGATCTGGAGGAAACAAACAAGGTCATGTGAGTTTGGACCGGGCTTTTGTGCCAGTCGGCTGAGGAATGGTAATCACATATTGCATTAGTCTGAATCTCTCTCAAAACTGGCATCCATCGTTCCTGCACTTTGTCACTATTATACACTTAAGGGGTTCAAACATCATTGCCAGTGTGAATAATACTAACCTAAATAGAGTAAATTAGAGTAAACTTTGGAGACAGAGCTGCTTCCAGTTGCCCACTCCAAAAACAAAGCATAGTGGTTAAGTATGCAGCCCCTGGAACAGACTGCCTTGTGCATCCTGTTTTGCCCCTTACAAGCTGTGATTTTAGCAAATTACTTAACCTGTCTGTGCTTCCTTTCATTCTCCTCAAGACAGAAATGGTAACAAGACCTCCCTCACAGAGATGTCATAAGGGTTAAAGGAATAAACAAGAATAGACCCTGGTAAGGGCTTAGAACAGTGTCTAGCAAATAATAAACATCAACGTTATTCAACATATATTCTCTGTTGTTATTACAACCATAGGTCCACATCCTTACCCATGTGCTCTGAAAACTGGAAGTTTTCCCTAATATATTTAAAGGCAAAATCCAACCTGACCTAAACTCATTTGGCAAGTAAACCTAATCTACATTAATATAAAGTTGCTTGTTTTAATTTATCCCATGTAGTGTGCTTTGCTTCAGAAATACTAATTTTTTTTCATTATAGAGACTCTTTCCCCATCTCCCAGGGGATGAGATGAAGAATCTGCACTCTATACCTGCCTTCTAAAACTTGAGATAATCTAAATTCTGAAACATGCCTGACCCCGAGGACTTTGGATAAGGGCTCACAAACCTGGACATTACCTACCTTATGGATAAATAATAGACTTCTAGGACACTAACAGAGACTTTCAAACAAGCACCCAAGTTTTTCCTAGGCACAGAGTCTATGTCCGGACTAGAGGAATGGATTAAATGATCTATTATCCTATAAAAGATACATCCAACTACCCACGTACTGCCAAGCCAGACTCTGAAATCTTGGGTGCTGCACCCAGAAGGCTACAATTCAGACCGCCCTTCATTTCCCAATAGCTCCAGGCCATCTTCATATACTACCTTCAGCTGTGATTTATCCATCTGTGAGTACATGAAAGCCCTTCCCCAATTTTAATTTAAATTCCTCAAGGGCACAGACGTCCTCTGGACACCCTATGTGGCTCCCAGCACACACTGCTCTGTGCTAGGCAATCAATCAGTGTGTGCTCATTGAAAAATGATCTTCCATCCCCCACAAACAGTTTCTCATTTTCAATTCAGGCAGCAAAGCATTATTGTCTATCATACCATCTCTACATACTCAACTTCCTTCTCTGTAACACAGAAAAGCAACCAGACTTTTCTCTCCTGCCTGATTATTGATCCATATAGATGCTTACATTGGAACTACTGTCTGTGGAGAACCAGACATCAGAAACTATGGGTTTTGCTCTAGAAGTCCCTTTCACCATCTCTACCTACAAAACTACAACTCTAAATAAGCTAGGCAGAGGGCATGCCAGGCGATGATCCAGTCATTGCTCACTGGGATTTTACCGGGATTAAGTCAGTTACTTATCACATTGCATCAAAACATATTCTGAGCCTTTATAGTTTGCAAAGGCAATATGATGGGACCTTGGAATACAAAAAGATATCAAAGCAGTATGATACCTTGAAAAGAACACAAGGCCTTAGAGCCAACAGACTGCCAGCGCCTGGAAGAATGACAGCATTGTGGGGGCCTGACTTACTCATTCATTAAAGTGAAGGCGTTGGTATAGAGTTAATACCCTTGAAGTTGATTTTAATAACATATTAATAATTATAATTATAATTATATATTTTATTTAATCCAATATATCCAAAACATTACCATTTCAAAATGTAATCCATATTTTAAAAGATTAATGAGACATTTTACATTCTCTGCTCAAATCAAGTCTTCAAAATCCAGGGTGTATTTTACACTCAGAGCACCTCTCCATTTGAACTAGCCACAGTCCAAGTGCCCAATAGCCACATGTGGCTGGTGGCTGCCATATTGGACAACACAGCTATAAAACAATACACAACTAATTGCCAGTCAGGAGCTCTTCACCTAGGGTCTACAGACCCCTAAAGACTCTTTGAATATAACTATATTTTATCTTATGCACTTAAAAAGGTATTTGGAGAAGAATCCAAGAATTTTCTCTACATTTCCAAAGGGCCCATAACACAAAAAAGATTAGGAATCCCTGAGGACCAAAGTGCATTTAGAAAAGATCACAAAGTGCAGTAGAGAGTAAAGAAGTTTCTGCAGACCATGGAATTGTGTTGACTGAGGCAGGATTCAGTGTTGGTTGAGAGCCTGGACCCCAGGTTCCCATCCTGGTCCTATCACTTTCTAGCTGTGAGACTTTGGGCAAATTATCAACCTCTTTATGCCTCAGTTTCCTCACCTATAAAATGGCGCTTAAAGTAGTACTGACATTGAAGGTTATTTTTGTGGTGCTTTGAAGTGCTAAGTACAATGTCTGGAATACATAATGTCTAATAAATGTCAATGATTTCAGGAAAATGAGGATAACTCAGTTACATGGAAATGTGGGGAGAGAGTGCTGCAACAGTAAGAAAAACTTCCCCAGCCAGGATGTCCTGTGTGTAATGCTTCAGCGTTCTTAGCAACTGGGAGAAGGATTGCTGAATGAACTTCATTATCTTTTTGTCTAAAAGAAGAGAAAATTTTCAGTTCATTTGATCAAGGAAGGCCTCTTGGATCACTGGTCCCATTTCAGAAAGACATAAAAGCTACCCAGATGATGTTCCAGATATTTATACTCCTTTTAAATTCATACTCTTTTCTAGGAGAGAAGGGGGAGTTGGAATAAGTAGATGATACAATGGAGGTGTTGGTTTGAAATGGTACAATCTATACTATTGTGCAACCAGCACAATCTATACTATACCAGCAACAAGAGGGCAATCCACCAGAATCTAGGACTACGACTGAGTTCTGAGTGTCGGCAACACGAAGATTATGCTGAAAAAGCACCCATCCTCTCCTGAGGCAGGCTCTAGAGAAAACTGATTGGTCTAGAAGATTGCAGAAGAACTGGATATCACAGCTCTAGAGTTCAGAAACATGATCATTGGAACAATCCATAATATAGCCTGATTTCTTTCCATCAGCTCACTACCCAGGAGCCAAGAAGGTCTGCATAAAAGACCACCTAGTGACAGAGCTAAAACTGAAAGCCTGCACTAGAAGTTGGAAATCACTCAGCACCCAAACTGAGCCCAGTATTTGAGGAAAGACCTCAGGCGGTGGCAGAAATGAGAACCAGGCATTCTGACTGGCCCCACCATGGCCCCTACCAGGGGCTCTCTGGGCTTGAACTGGCACCTTTCCCTGTTACCTTTAGCTCACTTTCTTTTCCTTTTCCTATTGGTGGGGTGCCTTTGTCCCCCAACTTAAATGTCCTACTCTTGCATCCCAACAAGCTTGCCCCAGTCTTCATTCACAGCTCATCTCAGAGGCCTCCTCCCGCTGAAAGCGAGGGTGAATACCATTGATAGCTTATCCTTTTGCCCTATACTTCCAAGATAGGTTTTTTAAAAATACATGAAGAATGGCAGAAAAAAGGAACTACAGAAGGGCTGTCTTGTCTTTTTTTTATCATAGAACAGAGTGCAGAATTATAGTTTGATTATGTCTTAGAATCTATTCCATTTATTCTGACTCCCAATAGATGGTGTAATTTTGGAAAAGAAAAGAGGGCTGGGTGCTTAACAGAGACCCAGTACGGAACCCATAAGCCTCTCCGGCAGCACAATGATGCACTAGCTGCAGCCTGGGGCTGCGGTACAAATTTCCCATTCCCGCTTTGCTGAGCTGAGCAGACTGGAGCGGGAGCAGTAGAGAATTCACCGTGCTTCCCCCTGCAGGGCCTCTGCACCTCCACCACCTCCACGGAGACCCCACTCCAGCTCCCTCTTCTTCTGTTACTTGGCCCATAGATCAGTTGGGTCTATGCCCCTCCACCATCCCTAAAACCTACCCTGCGCTGATCCACCCTCAGTTTTCCCAATCTACTCAGGAAAACCCAGTCAGTATATAAGACTGTGCCAGCTTCACATGTTGACAGAGTGTTTTCATTGCCTGTACATTATACAGTCAGCAGCCCCTTTGCGTCCTGCTTCCCCCTCTTCCCGCGCCTGCTGCTCACTCACCCTCATCTCACATCTCCCTCCTCCCCCGTCTGCTGGGGTAAAGAAAGGCTCCTCCAAACAGCACAATGGCTGGCGCTCCCAGAAAGCTGGGTTCATCCCGCGCAGGCCGCCACATACTCCACGGCCCTTTGGGCCAAGCAGGAGCGGGACAGCGGAGAGGGAAGCGGCCCAGGGGCTGTCAGGCGGCGAGGAGGGAAGGGATAGGCCAGAGAGGAGAGAGGGCTGTGATGACACCCCCCGCCCCGGGCTGTGGCCCGCGCCGCCGAGTCCCAGGGGCCGGGGACCCACAGGAGGGCAGCGCGTCCGCACCACCGCCACGACCGTCCTTTCTCCGACCTGTTCTATGGGGAAACAATCGTTCCCCCAGCGTCTGCGGCAGCTGCCTGCCGTTCTGACATTGCAGGAATGCACGGTTCTGGGGAAAGGCCCGGCACGCGAGGGAGGGGCGCGGGCGGGGTTCGGGTTAGGTTTTTAGGGGCCCAGATGATTCTGGAGCTGTTAAGGCTGACCGGACCAGATAACGGTCCTGGGAGGAGGTACCGACCCACTGGCCCAGCACCCTCGGGCAGCGCTCCCAGGCTCCCCAGACCCCCGACCGCGCCGCCTGCGGTCACACGCGCGCGCTCGGCCTGGCTGGGGGTCCGAGGCTCTGAGGATGGTTGGAGCGCCCATCATCCCACATCTCCCGGCCCCCTAGTACTGCGTCCCCGCTGCGCTCCCGCGAAGGGCTGGGCCGGAGGGCGACGGCCTCTGGGCTCTTTCTTTCCGATTCCAGGACGGGACAGGCCGGGGTGCGGGACTGCGGCGCCCCCAGACCTACCGGCGGAGAAGCCCGAGTGGCCGGGCCTCCCTCACCACCCCCTCCAGCCCCCGCCCACGGCAGCGGGTCTGTCCGGACTAAGGTCGCCCCCCCCGACGGCACCTGTGCGGGTCCTGGCGGAAGGAGGCGGCTCACGGGACTCAGCGGGACACCCCCATCCACGGGCCACGGCGAGCGGCGCGGCCGGAGCGCAGCGCAGAGGCAGCGGCAGCGGCGAGGCAGCGAGCGCTCCCCCCAGCAGCTCCGCGGGCGCCGGCTCCGCTCGCTCCTCCACCCGCCCTCCGGCCCTCCGGCCCTCCCCGCCCTCGCGCCCGCGCTCCCGGGGGCGCGCCCGTGCTCGGGCACCCGCCCGTGGCACGCGCGGAACCCGGGCGTCATCTACTGGTTAACATTCACCGCCTTCCGTGGAGCATGGGGCCTGCCTTTATTAATATTTATGAATTACTATTTCTCCCCCCTTGAACATTGGCCTTTCTTCTTCCCTCATGAATATTCAGAAGCTACAAGATGCGTGCGTGCAGTAACTCCCAATATGGATACCTCACAGGGCCTGACACTAGATTCTGGATTGAAAACAGACGGGTGGCTGAGTAGATGGGCCGGCGGATGCCCGCAGACACAAAGACCCCCTTGGACCTTCTGGATTCCTCATTTACTCTACGGGGCTAAAGTGGACAATCTGCGAGGTGCCTGCCGCCCCAGACCGCGCTCAGACCTCAAGCCAATAATGATCAACGTTTTTACCACCCAGAGATGCACAACGGGAGCTGGGCCCGGGCTGATAAAGCTGAGTTAGGTTTCAGGCCCAGGAGTGCTTGACATTACAGAAGGTCATTCGCCAGGAGATGTAAGGAAAGACCCTGAGGCCTTATGAAAATTTATTTTGCATCCATTTATCTGCCCACTAGGCATAAGCTTGTGCTTTAGAGGCCGTTAATACAAAGTATAATAATTCATGAAAGCAGGCAACTAAAAGTGCAAGAACTGCAAGTATGAATGGAAGGCACCCAGAAGCGCATGTCTGCTTGGAGAACCCCAGGTACTGTGTCAAGTTCGAGATGAAGTTAGAGGAGCTGGTTGGGAGTGTGATAGTGAAGTAGCTCTGGGCTAAGCCGAGAACTTCAGCTGAAAGCAGCAGGGAGCCTTTCTTTTGCTCAGTTATGCATTCGTTTCACAAACATTTCAATCAAGAGAAGGTGAAGCAAGGGAATAAGGCCCCTGTGAGATGGGAGGAAGAGTCCGTCACTTTGCCCCGGCCGTGGCATTAACCAGGGGGTTTCTTCCTGTGAGACTGGAAGAAAAGTTGGTGGTTAAAAGGTCTTCCCCAGTTCTGTGACTTAGGCAAGTTAATCTCCTTGTGCCTCATTTCCTCCTCTCTAAAATGAGGATAAATAGTGGCACCTACTCAGGCCTATGGTGGAATTAAACTAGTTAATATGTGTAAAGTACTTCCAGGCACAACCGAGGGCACCATATAATTCTTGGCTATTACCTTCCTTAGGATAAGCTTGGGGACACTGTACTAAAAACCACCTTCTGTGCACCTCTTCAAAGCATGGCACTCACAGGTTGAGGAACACAGGATTTCTGAGGAAGTACAGCAAAGTGATAGTTTGGGCTCTGCAGAAAACACCAGTTCAAACCCCATTGTTCCATTTATCAGCTGGCGACCTTGTGCAAGTTCTTACTCTCTCAGAACCTCACCTGTAAAATGGGGATTCTAGTGTCTACTACAAGGTTGTTATGTAGACTAAAAAATATCATCCCTGCAGAATGCTCAGCATAGTGCCTGGCATATAATAACTATTCAGTGAGTGAATTCTATTGTTTTTCCTCTAATTTTGTGAAGAATTGAAGGAACTCAAAGGTGAGAACTGATAATCTAGGCATCAGGGATGAGAATGTTCTGAATGTGAGCAAAGTTATTCTTCCAGCAAAACATTTCTTCATTTCATTGTAGTAAAATGTATATAACATAAAGTTATCATTTTAACCATTTTAAGTATGTGATCCAGTACATTAAGTACATTCACATTATTATTGCAGCCATTACCATTATTCATCTGCAAAATTTTTTCCTCATCCCAAACTGAAATCTTGCACTAATTGAACAATAACTCACCATTCCTCCTTCCCTATAATGAATGCCTGGTAAACACCATTCTACTTTCAGTCTCTATGAATTTGATTATTGTAAGTATCTCATATAAGTGGAACCATGTAGTATTTGTCCTTTTGTGTCTGGCTTATTTTACTTAGCATACTACTTTTGAGGAGTATTCATGTTGTAATGTGTCAGAATTCCATTTCTTTTTCAAGGCTTAATGATATTCCATTGTATGGATATACCACCTCTGTTTATCCATTCATTTGCCTATGGACATTTGGGTTGTTTCCGCCTTTTGGCTATTGTGAATAATGCTGCAGTGAACATAGGTGCACAAATTCCAGGCAATGTTTTTTGGTATTTTGTTGTTGTTGTTGTTGGGAATGGCAACAGTTTATTTTATTTTAGTTGTTTTTATTAAGGTACCATTGATATATACTCTTATGAGGGTTTCACATGAAAAACAATGTGGTTGCTACATTCACCCATATTATTGAGTCCCCCCATACTCCATTGCAGTCACTATCCATCAATATAGTAAGATGCCACAGATCTGTGCTACATGGTCTTCCCCATGATCCCACGCACACACCATGTGTACTAATCACAATAGCCCTCAAACCCCTTCTCCCTCCCTTCCCACCCACCCTCCCCCACTCCTCCCCTTTGGTAACTGCTAGTCCCTTCTTGAAGTTTGTGAGTCTGTTGCTGTTTTGTTCCTTCAGTTTCAGGCAATTTTTTAAATTGTATTCCATAACCTGTGATGGAAGTTGGGGAGGCAAAAATGAAGGTATGCCTTCAAGAGATTCAGGGTGTGGGGCACTGATTTCCAAACTCTGCTTCTCAGAACTTATAGTGGGTTGACTAGTGTCTCCTGCCAAATTTATATCTCCCCTCCCCGCCACCACCCCAGAACCTCAGAATGTGCCAGGAGATCTGCAGATGTGCTTAGTTAAGATGAGGTCATACTGGATTAGGGTGGCCCTAAATGCAATGACTGATGTCCTCATAAGAAGAAGAGAGGGCACATAAAGACACAGGAAAGAAGGCTCTGTGATGATAGAGGCAGAGATTGGAGTGATGCAGCTACAAGCCAAGGGTCACCAAGGATTTCTGGGAACCACCGAAGACAGGGAGAGGCAAGGAAGGACTCTCCCTTAGAGCCTTCAAGGGAAAATGGCCCTGCTGACACTTTGATTTCAGACTTCTAGCCTCCAGAACTATAAGACTGTAAATTGCTCTAGTTGAAGCCATCCAGCCTGTGGCATTTGTTACAACATCCCTAGGACACTAATACACATTTTGATAGTGAGAAATGGGGGGCTGCTATGCAAATACTTAAAAATGCAGTAGTGGCTTTGGACCTGGGTAATGGATAGAGGCTGGAAGGCTTTTGAGGCACCTGACAGAAAGAGCCCAGATTGCCCTGAAGAGACTGTTGGTAGAAATATGGGTTAAAGGTAACCCTGGTGAAGGTTCAGAAAGAAATGGAGGAGTACTAAGATAGCTTCTATCACTATTGGGAATATATATAGTCACAAACAGGATGGTGCTAGAAATGTGAATGTTAAAGGTGCTTCTGGTAAGGTCTCAGATAGAAATGACAAAGTGTTATTAGAACTGGACAAAAGTTGATTTAGTTATAAAGTGGCAGAGAACTTGGAGGAACTGTGTTCTGCCGTTGGTTGGCAGTTGAACTTGTAAGTGATGAACTTAGGTGTTTAGCTGAGGAGATTTTTAAAGTATGGAAGATGTGGCCTGGTTTCTCCTTGCTGTATAGGGTAAAATGCAATGAGGAAGGATGGTCTGGACCCCCTTCACTCCCAAGCATCAAGTTGCACATAAGGTTTCTGAGAATTTTTATACCAACAGAAACACTATCAGCCTGGACTGTGCTAGAAAACAAAATTCAACTAAGTAAATTTGAAGATCCAATGGGTTTTATTAAGCAATTCATGAATCAGACAGCATCCCACCTAGCAAGCAGAGAAATGCTCTGAAGAACTGTAAAGAAGTGGAAAGTTTTTATAGACAAGAGGATGGGGCAAAAAGTTAGCAAAAGGAGTAGGCATTGCGTCACTAACCCTAGAGGAGCAGAGCGCCTGATATTGCTCACCTCACTACTGATCAGGAAATTCCAAACTGATTGATTTAAAATTCCACTCCTGGGAGCCGCTGAACTGCAGGCCCCAGTTTGGTGACTTGATCTAGCAGAATGTCCCATGTTGGGGGTGTGTTTTTCTTTTTAACAACCGAAAGGGACAGAGATGGGATGAAATGAAGGAAGACTGTAGACTCCTGAAATTCCACAGTGGGGAAACAAGCTGATAGAGGTGCTCAGCTGCAAACTCATGTTTTCTTCCAAGAAAGAGGGGGAATGGCGGCGAGGCGGGGCCCTCACCTGCCTAGAGGATGGAGCTGTGAGCCACAGAGGATCATTCTCAGGCCTTCAAGCCTCTTGAATCCTGCCCTCCTGTGTTCTGAGCTTGCTTTAGACCAATGATTCTTCCTCCTTCCATTTTTCTCCCATTCCGAGTGGGAATGTCTCTCCTCTGTGTGTCCTACCATGGTATTTTGGAAGCAGACCAGTCTCCCAGGTCCACAGATGGAAAGGAATTTTGCCCCAGGGTGGTTCATCCCCAGAGTCTCACCTATACCTGATTTAAATTATGAGATTTGGAAAATTTTGAGTTGATGATATTTAGATGAGATGTAGATTTAATGTTGGGAACAGGTTAAGACTTGAAGATGTTGGGGTGGAATTAATGTATTTTGCAGAAGGGGTGGACATGGATTTGGGGGGGACCGGAGGGCAGACTGCAGTGGGTTGAATACTCATGGGTCCCCAAGAAATTCATATCCACCCATGTTTTAGTCCATTGGTCTGCTATAACTCAGTACCACAGACTGGGTGGCTTATAAACAACAGAAATTTCTTTCTCATGGTTACAGAGGCTGGAAGTCCAAGATCATGGTGGCAGCACTTACGGTTCTGGTGAAGACGCTCTTCCAGGTTGCAGACTGCTCTTTTCTCACTGTGCCCTCACCTAGTGGAAGGGAGTCAGGATCTCTCCTGGGCCACTTTTATAAAGGCATTAATCCCATCCGTGAAGGCTCATCCTCATTCGTGAGGTCTTTCAGAGGCATCTACCTCATAACATTATCAAATTCGGCACTAGATTTTCAACCTATGAATCTGGGAAGGACACAAACGCTCAGAGCATAGCAACCCCATACTTCAGAATGTGACCTTATTTTGAATTAAGGTCTCTACAGATATAATTAAGATGCAATCATACTGGATTACTCTGGACCTGACAATTGCTTTTTCTCATTGTTAAGGCAGTCTTAAGAATCCTAGAAGAATTAAATAAACTAATTCAACATTTAACATATATTAATACCTCCTGTGTACAATCTATGTAAAGCTTTGGTACAGGACCTAGGATATCATAAGAGCTCAATAAGTCCTACTTGTGTCTTCCTGTTGTTAGGAGTTTCAAGAATCCTCCACAGGGCTGATAGGTAGAGCTATACCATCCATCACCCCATCTCCCCAGCCTGACGGATCCAATTTTATTTTTATACATACCAAGAGTTTCTAGGGCTTAAAAACACTTATAAACAAATGACAATCCCAGTGGACAAAGTGAAAACTCCATTTTTTTCAAATTGGTGTTCAAGGATAGCTTGTTATTGTAATTCAAAGAATTACAGAAGAAGCTTTAAAGAAGATACGAGGTGCTTTAAGTAAGATATAAAGTGTTTTAAGCAAAGCTTTATGATTTCTATGCAATTGTGAGGAAAAGAGCAGGCATTCTTCCCAAAAGGTCACCTAACGTGCAACAGGATCTCTCGAGCCAGAAGTATTGTTATTTTGGGCTGGGAGATTTTGTTGGGGGCTGCCCTATATGTTGTAGGGTATTTAGCAGCATCCCTGGCCACAAGATGCCAGGAACGTCCTCCCATTTGTAACAACCCAAAATGTCTTGAGATACTAAGTGACCATGATGGGGGGAGTCCCAAAATTACCCCAGTTGAGACCCAGTACCCTAGACATAGGTCTTTAAAGGGGGTTGTGAACATTATGCTAGGATGTGGCTGCATTTCCAACAGAAGAAACTAGCAGAGCCAAAGCTTGGGTATGTGAAGAGATACCCATGTATGTGCCTTTTAAGTAAGAAAAATTAAGTCTGGGTCTTAGGGACGGCTCCCAGTTGTTAGGGATAAGGCATAAATAATCACTCTTACAATCACACTAACACCATTCCAGTGCCTTATTTTAGTTCCTGTACTGAACTTAATTTAATCTCTAATTTGCTTGATACAATCAAAGAATCTTGAAATATATAGAGCATTTCAAGGTCTTCCAGTCTAACCACCCATCTGACTCAGAAACCAGCATCCCTCCTAGGCAATGTTACATGCAATTTCTACATAGACACCTCAATGATGAGAAACTTGACCTCACAGAGTTGCCCATTTCATTTTTTTCAAAATGGTGTTCAAGGATAGCTTGTTATTGTAATTCAGTGACAGTATGATATAAATTGTGCTCCTTCTATTTGATCTTCCTTAGAAAGATCCTTCTTGAAGAAGCCAATTTTTCATGAAATTCTGGAAATGAGCTGCTGAATCTTTATTGAAAACCTATGTCAATCACAGTCCAGCAAATAAAGGTAAGCTCATACCTGCTCACATTTTAAAACCACTTCATTTTTTCCATCACTGGTAGTTCCCCAACACCAAAGCTCAATTCATCCTCAATCTCCAGGGTTGATTAAACTCTCTGATTTGTTTCCGCAAGGGAAATGGAATATTCTCCAAGATTCAAAACCTACTCATTGCTATCTAGTCGGTAGGTAATTACTCCCCACCTCAAAGCACACATATCAAGAATAAGACCTTATTACTCTCAAAAAGAATAAGCAGTATCATAAAAATTGACAATAAATCAATCCCAAGAACAATTACAAATTCTAGAATGGTCACCTCTGCTACCTGATAAACTAGTTGGCAAATAAGGAATAAGATCCCTTAAGATACTGGAAGTTGCCACAGGGTAAATGTGATGACTTTTTTTTGTCTACAAAGAAAAGATTTGGATATTTCAAGAAAGGAGAGCCACAAATTTTTAATAGGAAAAGGAAAATAAGGTCCCATTGTGGGGGAAGATATTAGATTTTTGATGGTCAGTAAAGCAAGGTTGTTATGTTCCCTCCTCTGTGGTTTATCAGCATAGATCCATATGTGCCCTGGGTGAATGGGGATAGGATAGGCTTATTGCTATCTCCTGTTCTCAGTAGGATATAGAACTACCTGGACAGCATCCTAAAGGGAGGCCACACATGAGATGTGTGTGGAAAAAAGAGCATCTCAGAGTGCCTTATCTGAATCTTGGCATGAGGTTGACTAGACTGCTCTATGGGGAGAGATGAGAGTGAGAGTTAGAAAGGGAATAAGAGAAAAGGAAGGTATAGTCAGGAGGAAATTTAAAAGGAAGGTTCAGCTCCGGGAGTTTTTTTTTTTTTAATAGCTGAAACTTAATTTTTAAATTATTTATTAATGTATTTATTATATTGAGGTTATATACAATAAAATTCACAAATCTTAGTATAACAACTCAGTGAATTTCAGCATGTATTTACACATACTCACGTAAACCATCATGCCAGATCAAGATACCAAACAATCTCACTGATTTTTTTTCCTCCTTCACCCATTTCGTGAGTTCACTGTTAGGTTTATTTTTGGCTCTCATGAGACCACCAAGCCAGGCAGACACAGCATTTGTACAAAACCCTGAGGACTGACTCCGACTCCCCTCAATCTCAGGTAATCTGTTCTGCTACCCTCAGGATGCCCTGGTATTCAGAAATGAACTTGAGGAAACAAAAATGCCAATGAACACTCTACCACTTCACTGCACCAGTCTAACCATATAAAATCACTTCACCAGCCAACAGCCAGAGCCCAGCATGCACTGCAAATGCTGCTCTAGGCCACAGCTGTCCTCTTTAAGACCTCAGCTCTGAATAGTGAGTATTTTCAACCCTGTGAAAATGATGAGCAGAGAACCCACATTTCCCTCAGTGTCTCATTTTCATAGTCTCTTTCATAAAGTCATCACAGTCAGGATTTAAATACATCAATATCACCTAGTCACTGCCTACCAGGTGAGAGCTTAACATTGAACACCAAGCCCTGTAGAAGAGATATGCTGGGTTCGTGATAGGCAAGATTGCTCCCTTAAGAATATACAGACCAAGTGATATCCTGCAAGAATCTTGACAGGGCATGGCATTGCAGCTGGTTTTTGGAGAGCTATGAAAGGAAAATTTCATTGTTGGATATTGACCAGATCATTGGAGCGTGTGAAAAGACGTTGATGAAGCCAAGTAGTAACTCCTATCTTAGAAACACACAAAGCAGTTAGACACAGAATCAGTATAAAATTAGAAGCTTTGAGAGATTTGGTAATTGATGATCGTTCAAAATAGGCTGGTTTTGTAGACTTGCATATTCAAAGAAACCCAGATTCTTTTTTTTCAGATGGAGAATGTGTTCATTAGGTATAATGGTTAGACATGGATGAAATGTAAAAATATAAATCAAAGGAAGCTCACTCCTTACCTATTAGAAAAGATTATCCCCCAATCTGATAATGGCAACTCTTTACTCAGCTAAGAGAAATGAAAAGAAATTATTCTTAAAGCCTTCTATAAACTTCATTTAAAACAGAAAAATATTTTGATCTATATTGAATAATCCAGCGCTCTACTACAAGCAAGATCTAGGAAGAATTCCCAGTTTAGTGTTTCACATAATTGTATGATTATGGCTGATTGGTTATCTAGACCAAATTACAAGGAAGGAAAATGAAAGGAAGAAGAAGGGGCAGGGTATGTGATGTTGGGAAATTGGGAAAAGCTCCCTAAGCTAGGAGTCAGGAGTTTGGGATTTCGGTGTCAACTTCACCATTAGCTAGCTCTCTGACTTAAGGAAAATTACTTAGGTTTTCTGAACCTCAGTTTTCTCATCTATAATTTAAAGACCTTTGAATAACATCTTTTTCTGCTCTTGAATTTAATGAATCTAAACTCTACATTTTCTTTCAAAACCAATCATGACACTTTGTTTAAATTGACCCCAAACTCACGGAGGGATCTTGGATTGTCTTTTGATATCTTTGCCCTTGTTTCTCCATTTGTAGACTCTTACATATTTCATAGAGATATTGCAACAAAGCAAGAGAATGTAACACTTTGTTATGCAAAAACCCTAAGGAGAGAGCCAAGTAAATTGTATTTTACACATGTGCTCCAAATTCCGCTGTGTTCAGGGATTTCCTCTAACAGAGCTTCAATTGCTATCCTATTATAAAAATGATATATACCCATTGAATGTTCTTCACTTCCCCTCCTAAGGTTGCCAGATTTACCAAAGATATGGGACACCCAGTTTTAAATTTGCATTTCAGATAAACAATGAAAAAGTTTTTAGTATACATCTATTCTATGCAACATTTGTGACATGCTTTAAAAAAATTATTCGTTGTTTAGCTGAAGTTCAGATTTAACTAGGCATTCTGTATCTCCATATTTTATCTGGCAAGCCTACATCTATCCTCATTTTGATAGAGATACGCAATTCCTAAATGATGTGTGTGTGTGTGTGTGTGTGTGTGTGTGTGTGTGTGATAGAGGGAGAGAATTAATTATTAATTGAGTTGTAGACTTTTGAATAGCTTATCTCAATAAAAAACATTAAAAATGTTTCTAAATTGTCCTTGAATGATAAGTCTGGCCTTATGGATTATTGTTCCTCTCTTCTTCTCCCCTTTCCACATTTCAAGAATATCTTATATTGAGGGGGAAAAAGCATCTCAGAGTACCTTATCTGAATGTTGGCATGAGGTTGACTAGACTGCTCTGTGGAGAGAGATGAGAGTAAGAATACGAAAGGGAATAAGAGAAAAGGAAGGTATAGTCAGGAGGAAATTTAAAAAGAAGTAATGACATCAGTCTCTCTTTCATATTTACCATTTCTTTATCTGATCATAGATAGGCCATGGGGCCTGACAAACCATAACTGAAGCTTGGTCGGTACATACACACAAAAATTTGTATGTGAATGTTTATAGTAATTTTACTCATAATAGCCAAAAAGATGGAAACAACCTGAATATTCATCAACAGATGAAGAGATAAATTGCAATATCTGCATACAGTGGGATTTTATTCAGCCACGAGAAAGAACAGAGCACCAATACACACTACAACATGGATGAACCTTGAAAACATGATGCCAAATGAAAGAAGCCAGACTCAGAAAGCCACAAATTGCATGATTCCATTTATATGAAATGCCCAAAATAGATAAATCCATAGAGGAAGAAAGATTAGTGGTTGCCAGGGGATGTGAGAAGGGGGCAATGGAAAATGACTGCAAATGGGCAAGTCTTTTCTTCACTTTCTTACTAAAGTTGGATCATATGATGGTTGCACAACTCTGTGATGATACTGAAAACCACTTAATTGTACACTTTCAAAGGGTGACTTTTATGGCATGTGATTATATCTCAATATTTTTAAAAAGTCAGTGCATTTATAAAAAAAAACTTGCTCAGGTCTCAGGGCATGCTGCAGAACCACCCAAACAGAGCCATTTCTAAAGAGCAAGCAGAGTAGCAGGGATAGCAACTATTTGTGCCTATCATGCAAGGAGCTCTAACTAATATTACTGTTTATTAAACTTTTTATCATGTTTAATTTTCACAACGCCCCTATAAAAGAGGCATTATTATCCTCTATCTCGGAAGAAGAGGAAATGGACTCTGAGAGAGAGAGTAATTTGTTTGATGCTCACACAGGCAAGAAAGGTGCAGGGTAGGGGTCTTATCACAGGGCCATCTGACTCCAAAGCTCAGCATAGCCCGTCACACCCTGACCGTCAGAGAAAGCAAGAACGACAGGGACTCTAGGTAAGCCTGGAAACCAGACTGCAGAGCCCTCCCAACTGCCCTGCTGTTCACTCCTTCCTCTTCAGAAGTTCTTCCTAGTGGATCTTGTTTGTTTCTGTTTTTACTACATTTTTAGCCTTCTTCAAACTTATTGCACAGATTTCTTTCTTGCTTTAGATGCTGCTTGGAGATTTCTTCATCCCTGGACGTCTTTAACAAAAGGTTCTTGGACTCTCAGAGCCAAACAAAAGCTGTGTGTGGTATTTTGCCTGCAATCAAAACTTACTGTCAGAATTTGCTTACATGTTACGAGAAGTCTTACTCTGTGCCTCCCATCCCCTATCTTTCCCTGGCCTGCTGAGGCACACTTTAGAACGGAAACACATCAATAGGTCTAGGTCCTGGGGCCCATTTTGGCCTTAGCCCTGCCCCTCCTGAACTGGATTATGGAGTGAGGTTTGAACTCATCAGTGGCTTCTTCTTGTGACCTCCAGGGAGCTAAGGCATCTTTCTTCAGCAGGAAGGAAGGATGCTTCCCCCTCCCACCTTCCACAGGACTACCTCCCACCACTTCCATCCCCCCCCGCCCCGGGCTGCCTTTCATTGTGGCTGCCCAGTTGCCATGCCAACAAGGTTCCCATAGTTACTAAGAAGCGCTGCTGCGTTCCCATAGGCAGTGCCCATCTACCAAAAGGGAAAGGGAGACCATTATGACCCCACGGCAAAAAAAAGTGGCTAACCGGGTCTCAGCCCAGGGGATGTTGAAGGACGATCTTGTTCATCTTTGATAACAGTGTCTAGGCTGGACCTCAGACCAAACGCTGCTGCCTCCACTCAAGTTCTCTGCTACCTAAACCTAGGGAGAAAGGCGGCTGGCACTAGTTCAAGACCATTGTTTTGCCTAGTGTGGGGTCCAAATAGACACCACATTGTGTAGATCGTGCTAATATGTAGATGTACTAATACATCTGGGCTCTTTGTCTAGCTCGGAAAATGGAAAATGCAAAACATGTTCTGCTCTCTCCTTTGGTTGGGTATCTTGTCTGAGAATCTGCTTTTCTCCTTATGGTACTCCTCCCTGAATTGATTATCCTAGGGCATACCATGTCATTTTTTAAAAAAAAGAATTTTTTTCCCTCAAATATAAAGAAATGTGTTCTAATATAAAATTCAAAAGTAAAGAAAATAAGAAAAAATCATTCACAGTTTGGAAACCAAAATATTTATTTATTTCTTTTAAAATAGACAGTTTTTGTGGTCTTACATAGTTGTAGAACATCATTTTTGAACTACAGTGTACTTTGTTCAGATTCTTCTTGGTGAATTTTCTCTCTGCTTTTATTGGCTTCAAATAAAAAAATGGCAATTCTCCCCAAAAACAAAGTTATCTGCTGTGCCTGAAAGCAGGGCATAAATTTTTCTTTGAGGCAAGTGCTCTTTTCCCTGTAATGAGAAAAAAAGAGACTCTTATCTTTGAAGACGCAGTGCGTATGCCAAGGTGAGTCTGCATAAACAGACCTTACTAAAATAGCCTCGGTTTTCCATTAGCTCCCACATATATCTCCCAGTCACTTCCCCACAATTTTTGTCCCTCGAATCCCAAAACCTCTTTCCTTTCTTAAAAGGGCATCTAAGCCCCCAAGTCTAAATGCTTATTTGAGCATCACTTTTTTGCTGTGATCTCCCCTGCACATGAACATTAGTAAAAATTAAGGGCCTTTGCTCCTGTTAATCTGCCTTATGTTGTTTAATTCACAGGCCCCTTGGTACTGAATTTAAGAGAGCAGAAGAAAGGTTTTTCCATCCTGACACACCCATGTTCATAGCAGCATCATTCACAATAGACGAGAGGTGGAAACAACCCAAGTGTCCATCAGCGGATGAACTGATAAACAAATTGTGGTGTGTATATACAATGGAATATTATGAAGCCTTTAAAAGGATGGAAAATCTGACACATGCTGTGACATGGATTAACCTTGCAGACGTTATGCTAAGTGAAATAAACCAGTCACATACCTCATATTGAGTTAGGGCAGGGATATGGGACAAGCCATCATGATTAATTTTTCCTGCCTTTCATGAAAAATGCTGAGATATAAACAGTCTGATAAAACAGGAGGCACTCCATCTTAAGGCTACGATTCCATTTTAAAAGAAGAGTTTTGAAGTAAGATTCCTAACATAATTCTTTGGTAATCAGCCAACAACTGACTGTCTTAAGGCAGGGCAGGCAGTCTTCATTGATATGTTCCCAGTGCTTGAGGGTAGCCACTATTTTGGATAAGGACAGGATCAATAAATTCCTTGTGTTAAGTTTATCTTACAGAATTATCTAGAGGACTGACTGGATGGTGACATGATGGAGAGGGACATCATGAGACCACATGTCAAGCCTAGGCCACCGCCACCTCTGTCCTTTGCCCCTTTGAAAGCCTTAAAAGACAGAATCCTAAGCTTCTGGGTGCACCTCTTCTCTGAGGCTGCCCACACCCTCCTTTCTGCAAGTGTGTACTTTTTGCCTTAAATAAAGACTTCTCACTGCTCAACTTATTACGTTTTTTTCTCTGCTCTCTTCCAGGGGTAATTTGCTTCCAGTGGCACTTTGGTACTTTTGTTACTTGCTATTTCATTCCATTTTTTAGTCACTTCCTATTTTCATTCAATTCATTCTTAAGCATTAGTCTTCTACTTTAGACAAGTAGGGAGGGCTACTGAGATCTCCAATTTGAGCTTGCAAGTACCTATCACCTGGGTGACCTGGACAGGACTGCAGCTGTGTGATCATACTCTTTGGAAGCCTGCCTAAAAATCTGCTTTCTTTGCCTTTGGGAAGTTCTCAGAACAGAGTCTCACTGCATCCAGTGCTCTAAGGCTCTCCAGATCTTGGGGTGGTAGAGGCTTAGTCCCCACACTGTGCAGGTCCAAGTGGACACTGGAGCCAGGTGACTCTGGCTTTAGGAGTTGGTAAGGGATTGTCCCTATGCTGGGCAGGGGTTTAATGAGCTTTCCTTTCCTCCCTCTGCCCTTCTGTGCTCTCTGCTGCCTGCAAGGCAGCTGCCATTCACTACTACTCTCGCTTTAATGAAGTCCCTCCTTACCTATACTCATCCGACCTGTTCATGAATTCTTTCTCATTCGGAGTCAAGAACCCTCCCCCAGGTTGAGGTCTCACCAAACATGCAGGGAGATCTCCCAGGACTGGATTGCCCAACAACAATATGACTCCACTTACATGAGTTATCTAGAGTAAATCACAGAAACAGAAAGTAGAATTGTAGTTGCCAGAGTCTGGGGAAAGAAGGGAATGGGGAGATGTGGTTTAATAAGTATAGAGTTTCAGTTTATAAGATGAAAAAGTTCTGGAGATAAGTCACACAAAAATATGAGTACACTTACCAAACTGTATACTTTAAAACAGTTAACATTTTTTTAATGTTATATGTGTTTTACTACAATTTAAAAAACCCAAACATAGAATTACCATGACCCAGCCATTCCACTCTTAGGTATATATCCAGGAGAAATAAAAACATACATTCACATAAAAACTTGTAGAAGGAATATTCACAGAAGCTTAAAGAAATGTGTTCTAATATAAAATTCAAAAGTAAAGAAAATAAGAAAAAATCATTCACAGTTTGGAAACCAAAATATTTATTTATTTCTTTTAAAATAGACAGTTTTTGTGGTCTTACATAGTTGTAGAACATCATTTTTGAACTACAGTGTACTTTGTTCAGATTCTTCTTGGTGAATTTTCTCTCTGCTTTTATTGGCTTCAAATAAAAAAATGGCAATTCTCCCCAAAAACAAAGTTATCTGCTGTGCCTGAAAGCAGGGCATAAATTTTTCTTTGAGGCAAGTGCTCTTTTCCCTGTAATGAGAAAAAAAGAGACTCTTATCTTTGAAGACGCAGTGCGTATGCCAAGGTGAGTCTGCATAAACAGACCTTACTAAAATAGCCTCGGTTTTCCATTAGCTCCCACATATATCTCCCAGTCACTTCCCCACAATTTTTGTCCCTCGAATCCCAAAACCTCTTTCCTTTCTTAAAAGGGCATCTAAGCCCCCAAGTCTAAATGCTTATTTGAGCATCACTTTTTTGCTGTGATCTCCCCTGCACATGAACATTAGTAAAAATTAAGGGCCTTTGCTCCTGTTAATCTGCCTTATGTTGTTTAATTCACAGGCCCCTTGGTACTGAATTTAAGAGAGCAGAAGAAAGGTTTTTCCATCCTGACACACCCATGTTCATAGCAGCATCATTCACAATAGACGAGAGGTGGAAACAACCCAAGTGTCCATCAGCGGATGAACTGATAAACAAATTGTGGTGTGTATATACAATGGAATATTATGAAGCCTTTAAAAGGATGGAAAATCTGACACATGCTGTGACATGGATTAACCTTGCAGACGTTATGCTAAGTGAAATAAACCAGTCACATACCTCATATTGAGTTAGGGCAGGGATATGGGACAAGCCATCATGATTAATTTTTCCTGCCTTTCATGAAAAATGCTGAGATATAAACAGTCTGATAAAACAGGAGGCACTCCATCTTAAGGCTACGATTCCATTTTAAAAGAAGAGTTTTGAAGTAAGATTCCTAACATAATTCTTTGGTAATCAGCCAACAACTGACTGTCTTAAGGCAGGGCAGGCAGTCTTCATTGATATGTTCCCAGTGCTTGAGGGTAGCCACTATTTTGGATAAGGACAGGATCAATAAATTCCTTGTGTTAAGTTTATCTTACAGAATTATCTAGAGGACTGACTGGATGGTGACATGATGGAGAGGGACATCATGAGACCACATGTCAAGCCTAGGCCACCGCCACCTCTGTCCTTTGCCCCTTTGAAAGCCTTAAAAGACAGAATCCTAAGCTTCTGGGTGCACCTCTTCTCTGAGGCTGCCCACACCCTCCTTTCTGCAAGTGTGTACTTTTTGCCTTAAATAAAGACTTCTCACTGCTCAACTTATTACGTTTTTTTCTCTGCTCTCTTCCAGGGGTAATTTGCTTCCAGTGGCACTTTGGTACTTTTGTTACTTGCTATTTCATTCCATTTTTTAGTCACTTCCTATTTTCATTCAATTCATTCTTAAGCATTAGTCTTCTACTTTAGACAAGTAGGGAGGGCTACTGAGATCTCCAATTTGAGCTTGCAAGTACCTATCACCTGGGTGACCTGGACAGGACTGCAGCTGTGTGATCATACTCTTTGGAAGCCTGCCTAAAAATCTGCTTTCTTTGCCTTTGGGAAGTTCTCAGAACAGAGTCTCACTGCATCCAGTGCTCTAAGGCTCTCCAGATCTTGGGGTGGTAGAGGCTTAGTCCCCACACTGTGCAGGTCCAAGTGGACACTGGAGCCAGGTGACTCTGGCTTTAGGAGTTGGTAAGGGATTGTCCCTATGCTGGGCAGGGGTTTAATGAGCTTTCCTTTCCTCCCTCTGCCCTTCTGTGCTCTCTGCTGCCTGCAAGGCAGCTGCCATTCACTACTACTCTCGCTTTAATGAAGTCCCTCCTTACCTATACTCATCCGACCTGTTCATGAATTCTTTCTCATTCGGAGTCAAGAACCCTCCCCCAGGTTGAGGTCTCACCAAACATGCAGGGAGATCTCCCAGGACTGGATTGCCCAACAACAATATGACTCCACTTACATGAGTTATCTAGAGTAAATCACAGAAACAGAAAGTAGAATTGTAGTTGCCAGAGTCTGGGGAAAGAAGGGAATGGGGAGATGTGGTTTAATAAGTATAGAGTTTCAGTTTATAAGATGAAAAAGTTCTGGAGATAAGTCACACAAAAATATGAGTACACTTACCAAACTGTATACTTTAAAACAGTTAACATTTTTTTAATGTTATATGTGTTTTACTACAATTTAAAAAACCCAAACATAGAATTACCATGACCCAGCCATTCCACTCTTAGGTATATATCCAGGAGAAATAAAAACATACATTCACATAAAAACTTGTAGAAGGAATATTCACAGAAGCATTATTAGTAATAGCCAAAAAGTGGAAACAAGCCCAAAGTCCATCAACTGATGAACTGATCAAGAATATGTGGTATATTCATACATAGAATATTATTCAGCTTTAAAAAAAAATGAAGTGCTCATAAATGTTATAACATGAATGAAACTTCAAATCGTTGTGCTACATGAAAGAAAGCAAGTACAAAAA